TGGTGTCAGGACTTATGAGACAAAATAAATAACTCGGTTTAATAAGATTTTTTATAAGACATAAAATGTTGTGTTTTACATCCTATAATACTTACATTTTTGTGATTAATAAATGCCTAAATGTACGCAGTACCCTTATATTTTGGTTTAGGTTGTAAATGGATGGAAAATATGGATTTGGAAGAAAGGAACGAAAAATGTGCGAAAACGAAGGAATTCCTAAATTTGGGGACTGAAGTGTAAACATTCAATAGTTGATTCGAATCACAAAACGATGATTGAAGATCATATGACATCAATTGGATGCAATTCGAGGTCAAAGGAATGAAATAATGTTGAAACATTTCACAAATCAAATTCCAGTTGAAGAAGTTATGCGCTGAATTTTTAGCCTCAATTTAAGAGCTATTTTTCGAGTAGCAAACAATCGAATTGGAAAATTTTTATTTCAGAAATAATTGTAGCTCTTTAAGTCATCTTTCCAATGCACTTTATATCACCTCAATCGGAGTTCGGAAGAGAAAGTTATGATCAAATTATTCAAAACTGTCCAGAGACAACGCTTGTAACACGGTGCGCACGCACGGGCAAAAAATGGCGCGCACGCAGCAACTCTTTTTCTCCAACCCGAGAGCAAAGTCATCCAATGGTGCGCACGCAATGAAATATATGGCGTGCGAGCATGGGCCAAAATTTCTGTGACGGACCAGTTTCCTTATTCTGATGAAATTCTACATGTAAACAATATTTTTGATATCATATATATACCTAAAGACACCAGAACGAAGGGAACCTCCTTTCTGATCTAAAAATCTTATATTTTGCGTATTCTTGGAGGCAAAGAATGCCCGCATTCCCTTCTACTCTATTTTGCTATTAGAATTGATGATGTACAACTAATTTCTCTCTTGGTCGAAGGATATTGAAACCTTGGAATCGCTTTCAATTGTGAGATCCACCTATTTTTCATTGTTTAATTTATATTTTTAGTATTGAATATTCTTCTATGCTTAATTTCATGATTGTTATGTTTGATTACTAAAAGGATCATCAGTTTATCATGCGTTTCAATCTATAGTTAAGTTAAATATCAAATCCGTAATTATTTGATTAATTTAACTTGTGAAGCAACTAGGATTAGTAATTTGTTACTTTGAGAAATTATTAAATCTTAGGAAGAATATTTATCTAGGTTAAATGCAAACGCTTGACTTGTGTTATCTGGTTCATTGATTTCTCTAATTCGGAAAGTCATTATTAAATTAAATTATCGCGCTTGTCTAGGATTGTTTGGTAATGAGGATTAATTAGATCTCTTGTTTCTAATTAATTAAAAGTAAGGAGAAGTAGAAAATTATTTTGAATGGGAAATTATTTTCCAACGATGAATACTAAAAGTATGAATTAATAATTATTTGTGAATCAATGACCAATTGTAAATCTCCAACAGTGAATGTTGACTTAGACCATGGTTTGTTCTATTGATTTCATTTAATTCGATAATTTGCGTTTACATTAATTGCTATTTTTAATAATTGTTTGTTTCAAAATCAAAAATCCCTATTTAGTTAATTTAGCATAAAAGATAGACTAAACACTCTTCGTCGGATCGACCCTTACTTCCACTATTACATTTATTTTGAGGAGTATAGGTTTTAATTTTGAGTGCCTACGACAGCACGCACCAATTTTTTATTTTTATTTCAGCAATTTCTTAGTTTTAATTCATAAGAATTTTTAATTAGTAATTTCTAAACATGTTTAATTGGGTTATAATTAAAAACTGTGTTATGTTTTATTGGTGGAACAATTAATTAATTTTTTTTATTAATACATCATGTTTGGTAGCGATTTAAATTATAGAATTCGTGTCATTACAGAAAGATCTTTGAAACATAGATGAAGATGATGACGATCATCTAAAAATCATCTTAACATTTCCATAAGGAAAAGTGATAATTTGATTAGGAGTAGTTTGAATAGGAGCAAGAATAGGATTTTGAGCATTTTCAAAATTTCATTCAAGTTCTCTAGATTGAAGATTTCATGGTATTATTTTAGGATTGATAATATTGGAATGAAAAGGATTAACTTCTACTAGAAGACTTTCGTCTTTTTGAGATGAGCGAAGAGTGCAAATATTGAGTTGAGTATTCATTAACTTGTAATATGTTCTATATACTGCAGCAAAAGCATTTCAACGATCATCAAAATCTAAATTTTTTGTTTAAATATGAAGATTTAGAGTATTAAGAATAGCTCCATCATTAAGAATAATAGAAAAAAATTTGGATAACAATTTGAAAATATAGGACCGCTTTCTAGATTTGATTCTAAAACAAATAATAATGAGTTTTCAAATTTGAGAAGTCTCTTATCTCTAAAAGTTAAGGCAATAGGAATGTCTAGATCAAGTCGAAACAATAGTTTGACAGCAATTTGCACTAATCCAACATGAAGATATTTAAATTTCTTCCTATGAGTTTCAATAGCATCTTTTGAAAATAAATTGATATAAGCATTTTGACTCTTGATTGGTAATGTTTGTTCAAAAGTCTCGATAACATAATTTTGACTAAAAATCAAACTTTCCTGTTTCATATATAGAGTTTTCTCTATTTTTGGAATAGTCCAGTTATGAAGTCTTTGTTCAATTTGAAGTTCATGACTATTGAAATCATTTGATGCAGATACAAATGGAAATGGTTGATCTAATTCTTCTTCTGTTTGAAAAACATTTGATGCACTTGATATGTTATTAGATCTACTACAAGATTTTCTATCACAACTTGAAATTGAAGACATAAATGAATAATGTAAAATAATAATAACTTACCAAAACAAACACAATGCAAATAGCATTGATTGACTTTCTCCAAGCCTACAACAGGACCACACTAAACACGCATACTCCAGCTACAAGGGTTAATAAACGCTATTCAGTAGACATCCACGTTTTAATCAGGTTTTCCTATTGACAATATATTTGGAAAGAAAAGTTACTATTACCTCATGTGTGTGTGTGTGTGTGTTTTGTTAATTGAAGAATCCAATTCCACTTGGACTGTCAAACTTTTCCCAATTGGTTTTTTGGCCCAATTTTATAATTTCCTGCCATCAGCTTTCCTGAATTCTAGTTTAATTAGAATTTGATTCCCCACCAATTTCCATGTTCAAAGGCCCATATAATTTGATGCTTGTCTTCATAATTAATGCAATTTAGTCCCTTGAGTCCATTTATTTGTGCAGTCCATGTCTTCTTTATTTTAATTAAAGTCCTTCAACATTCAAAGTATGGAATATTATCTCCAAATTTTCATTCAATGGCCAATTGATCATTATTTCTTTTCCAATTACTTCAAAATGGGTCCAACACAGAAACAAACGAAAATTAACCTATGTTAAGTAAAAAATTAATAATTTGACGACATAAAAGTTTAATAGTATGGTTCAGATAAGTACAGAAAACGCACTAATCATGGAAATAACAAAAAAATTGCATTCAGGTGTTAAACAATCAATTGCCGAAAAGGGGTTAGCAATTTTCTTAATCTTGAGTGAATACATAAACATTGATCATCCGCGATTCTTCGTGGCATGAAGTTGCAGCCTCGGTTAAATGATTCTAGAAGCAGCTGATAAACTTTATATCAATGCAATCCAGACCTCATACCAGTTTTTATTCAATGTCAACCATTGTAGAGAACTCCCAAATGTAAAATGATAATGGAACCAGACTCTACAACAATCTTCCTCATTAATCTGTGGCCAATCTTTAGTGAATACAGAATTTTGTCAAGCGTTGGTTGACAAAAGGATCACTTCTCTTCTGAAGAACAAAGTATAAAAGATTTGGATCAGAAAGCATTCCTAAAATTAGAAAATTGATACAGCGAAGAGGAAGACGAGATACAGGGTCGGAACACTTCTTGTAATACCAGTGATGAAATACTATAAACAATGATTATGCTGACGGAAATCTGGTCCAAATGATCAACTCTGTTTCCGTTTTGGGAAAAGACATTAAACTCTAATGAAGGTGAATGGGATAACTCTTCCTAGAGGCTGGGAGAATCACAAAAACGAAAAAGAAAACGGAAAGGGAAACAAACAAGCAGTCTAACAGTTCCTCAGGTTTGTTCATAATCTGTTTGCTGCATCGAGTCTACTTAATAGCAAGGGGGTATAAAACCGCTAGGGGGTCTGTAGCCTTTTTATTTACCAGAATGTAACACTAGCATCTTCCAAAGCCACCATGTAACAAAATATAATTTCCCAATGGAATGTAGGAAAAAAGTCATCATTTAACACACATTAGAATATAGGAAGGCCAGCATCTAACATGGGACCGAAGGAGTTTACTCCGTGGTCGAAATAATTAGATAAGTCTATCGTTTTCAGTTAAAGATCAAACTTCTGTGACCAGGTTAGTCCCTAATAAAAAAATATTTCAGAAATTTTTTGCAGGAGACCAATCTAACACTTCAATCTAATAGAGACAATAATTTGTTGTATGATAACAGCAGCCAGGTTTATTCTTCTCTGATGCCAGAAGAATTGACAATGAAAAAGAAAACAAAAAGAAGATTATAAGTACTCATAAACAGAACCTGATTGTCTACTGTATCTGTGGCCGTCTTTTTGTGTCACAGGAGAGAAACAGAGAAAAATTTAATCATATAAATTACGCAAATAGAGGTTATCAAAATTTACATAAATAAGCAGCCTAAATATATACTTCTGCCAAAATCATTAACAAGCAGCCGGATTTTAAAACATGTTTGATCCATACATAATTTCGGGTAGTTCCGAGACAAAAAAAAACTACTGAACTCCTCCTAGTCAGAGCTACTTCTCAAGCAGTTCAAGGATAGGCAAAATAAAAAAATAAAAATTTTGAGTTTATAAATTCCAAAACCAAGCTGATTACCATACATACAGCTTCAGTCTCCCTGATGTATCGGCCTATAGAGTTCTCCAATTAATATTGCATAAAAATATATCACCAGACAACCAGAACTTAATTTCTATAGAGGTAAACTGAACACGGAAACATAATGTGAGACTAGAACAGGCATTAAAATTTAAGAATGTGATAACTGTTACAATATACACCAATCAAGGTAAATCCCTTCTAAACCTGCACCAAATGTCCAACGGGTCAAAGAGAAGCTCAAAAAGGTATACATTTTGTCTATAAAGAACTAAACTGCCTACTCTTCTCACAGCAAAGCAAAAGGTAATGTTTCACACAAGAGAAACACACATCAGTTTGAGAAACATTGATCTCCTTATAGATTTTCCCAGAATACTTTAGACATAGAGCTCACTTTAGATTTTTCATCAGATATCACTAACTAATATGCCAGCTCAGTATGAAGCCATGTTTCAGACGAGAATTGTGAAACAGGGATCTCCTTATAGATTTTATGAGAACACTTTAGACATAGAGCTTATTGTAGATTTTCTCGTCAGATGTCTCCGCCATTAGCAATTTTCCTAAATGACACAAGTTTTAACCTCAGCACAACAAACCCCATTTTGATGTCTGACCACCCAGATAAGACTCTGAACTTCTTGAGTGTAAAATTGCCATATAAACCAATTTATAAAAATCAACCAATAAAAGAACCTTCGATCTGTAGTTTTGTGCCTAGTTCAGCCCTTGGCTTAGAAGAAAGTCCTTTGGATAACATCTCTTCATCATACTTGCGTGCCACATCAACCAAACCTTTCTGCAGCAAAGCATCAATTAAAGCATTATAAGCAAACTCGTCTGGGCTCAATCCTTGCTCTTTCATCTTCTTCCAGACGAGCAAAACTGGCCGTAGAAAACCCCATCTCTCAAACTTCCTCATGAGCAGGACATATGTGTCCATTCTAGGTTGTGCTCCACATTCGATCATCCTATCAAACAACTTTAGAATCTCTCTAGGCTTTTCAAGACACACAAAGAAGCAATGGTATGTAATCACGTTTGGCTCACAACCCTTTCTAAACATCAGGTCGAGCAATTTATGTGCCTCCACGAACCTTCCATTTTCACACAGAAGCTTCATTATGGTGTTAAAAGTTACAACATTTGGTTGACAACCCAATTCAATCATCTCCTTGTATAGCCTAACTGCCACATCAACCCCCTCTGAAATCCCAATAGCACGAATAATGGTGTTGTATGCTACGACATCCAATTGAATTCCCTTCTGCTTCATTTCTTTATACAGCTTCACAGCCTTCCATGGCTTTCCACTTTTGCATTGTATATCCATATAGATTGAGTACGAATACAAGTCTTTTTGAACATCCCTCTTATCCATCTCCTCCCAAAGCTCCCTACATTTCCTCCACCATTTCATTTTAAACCACCCGCGAAGAATCATATTATAAATTTTTGTACTCCCCACATTAATTCCCAACTGTTTATAATTATTACTATCCCTTTTCTTCTTAAAGCATAATTCTTCTGCTTCTATCACATGTTTGTACTCGCACAAAGCGTCAATCAAATTCAGAAAGGAAATTTCATCCCTCAAATTAAAGTCATCCAATTTATCAAACACATCAATCGCTTCTTTAACGAGGTGGGCCGACACATACCTCTTGAATAAAATACGAAACGTGACGTGATCAGGAAATGAAGATTGATGATTCTTCATTCTTCCTATTAAATCCCACGCGATATCAAACTCGAAAAATTTACCAAGTATGTCAATGACGCGGTTGTAACTTTGGGTGGTGTGCTGGAACCCGCAATGAGTTTCGACCCAGTTAAAGAATTCCAGCGCAAGATTCCAGTCATTGGCGTAACAATAGAGGGTTTCAAGAACTGTGGTGGGATTAAAATCGACGGAATTTAAGTGAGTTAGCGTTGAATTGGTGAAAATTTTGGATGATTCTTGATTTTTTTGAGTGGAATGTGAAGTGGGGTGCGAGATAAATGGTGGTTTTTTGGAAGAGGAAGTGTTGTAGAGGAGAAATTGGAGGCTGGAGAAAACGGAGTGAGGGAAGCGCAGGAGGGTGCGAGAGGTGACTGAGAACAGCATCTCTATTCCACAATTATTGCAATACCCCTCTCTCTCCACAAGTATCCTTAACCAGGGATATGGCAAAATGTCCGCCCACAGCCAAGACAAGGAAGAAGAACATGTCCCTGCCCCAATTCGGACGTCTGAAAATAAACAAAAGTGAAAAGGTTTTGTAAAATTAAATAGTAGATAAAATATATTTTTAAATAGTGATTTTTTTTAAAATTTTTTTTGAAGAAATTGTTATTAAAAAAAAAGAAATTTTTTTAATTTATATATAATATTCTTTTATTAAAATGTGTGATTGAGAGAGAGAAAGAAAAATGTATTAAAATTTTAATAGAGTCAACTAGGAAACGATCATTGATAATTAGTCTAAATTATTTAAATATGTCATATCTACAAATGTTAAAATGTACACCAATATTTTTTCAACATGAGCCTATATCATATCTTTCACTAACTCGAACATCACAAAGTATGCTATACAAGGTTACCGGTGTAGTGAATAAAAGGTTATGGAGTTGAGTATCTAAGTTCTCTATTTTCAACCTATAAGCATGAATCAACATATTCATGTGCAAGACAATAATCAATTCATGTTCATAAGTATGTTTCACATGAATAAGCAAACATTTAACTCGAAACACACAATTTGTTCATAATTCATAAACTAATACATGTTCTCAAATGTATACATTATAGTCGACAAGGCTATCTAACTTACACAAATAAGCAAAACAAATTTATTATTAATTAACAGTCACAAAAATCAAACAAAAAAAAAAATTCGCAAGAAAAAACAACTAACTAATTAGACAATTTATATTTCATCCCAAACATGAACTAGACTTTGTCCCCAACGTGAAATTAACGAAAAACGAAGAGGTCTTCTAAACATACGAAGCTCCTCACTACGAATGACACAATTGTATGGACCCACCCATTTGGAATAAATTGGGTTGGAGCAACATTTAAAGAAGAAAGAGCTTCACAAAATAAATGATAGAAGGGATGACACAAATCCATCTCATCCGATACCAGCTAAATGCTAAACTCACTATAAAGATAACTTTTATCTTCTTTGACAATGACAATTTTTAAAAAAAAAAATTGATAGAGTTTCCTCCGTAAACCACCAAAAACAACAAATTTCCTAAAACATATACATATATATTAAAATAGGGTATACCATCCCCTCTATACACAAACTGCTCAAAATAAAGTATAGGAAAATTGATAATTACTATTATTTACAAGCAAAGCCCTTAAATGTACTAAATATACAAATTATTTAGAGAGCCCATGATACTAATACGGTTTAATGCATTAAAAAATAATAATAATAATTATCCAACATGATAAGTATGCAATTGAAATGAAATATAAACTAACAAAATGAGTTATATAACTAATAATGATATGTGGCTCAACTCAGTGGATCGACAAGTTCTAAAGTTTCTCAACGTAGCTACTATAATATAAGAAAAAAGGGTAACAAAATATATGAGCTTGTAACTCAGTGAGAAAATAGTACGTAAACAAGTGCACTTTTCTCATACATATATATTTATTAAAAAAGTTTTACTTATTCTATTATAACATTAAATTCTAATTTTGATAATTTCTTTTAATACTGAAATATGTCGGAATCATAAAGTCCTTTACTCTTTATTCTAAATAGCAATTGTAAAATATTTTGAACATAAGCAATTTGATATGAATGAAAATCTGTTAAAAACTATCATTTTGCAATACTACGAGCTAAAATCATTATTTTGTACACAAAATAAACTAATTTCTGTAATCTGAAATTTGATAAACAGTAATAACATTAAAAAAATCACACCAAAAGGTACCTGGAATAAGCATACCCATGTATCAACTAATATCGATGTATTAGGCAAAGTTATTCATATATTATAATTTGGAATTCTGTAATTCCATAATTCAAAAATTCAGTAATTCTAATCATGCAACAAAGCTGCGCAAAGGCTATATTCTTGTCACACACTATAGAAATATATTCACAATGGTGTAGAATTGAAAAAATTATCATAATAGAAACACATTCATACCAGTACAAAGCGGGTAAAATAACTATGTAGGGTCATATAATTTAGATACACATTCACACAAGTACATAGTAGGGTAAAACTACATAGATATTTTCTAATAGTTTTGAGAAATAACATTAGATACACTGAAACATTTGTACTGATATAGTGTACAATGAAATGATTTAACTGAATTAAATGTAACTTTAAAAAGAATGCTTATTTATAAAATCAATTTTAGTAACATGAAATAATGGTTTAAAAAGAAATAATTCATATTTATTGATAACAAGAAACATTAAACAGTGACATATTAGAAAATTAAAAACTCTGTTATACTCTTAAGAAAAGTGACTTATAATTTGGGACAAACAATAAAAGAAAGCAAGCCTATCTTGATGGGTGAAGTAGTAATATATATTATTCAAACAATTATAGGAACTCGATCTAAAAAAATATGTCAAATAGAGAAGAGAAATTGTTATCATGTCTACAATAGCCTGATCAGCTACTGCAATTCATCTAAAAGGCTAAGCCTAAAAAGGTAAAGTTTTCTCTTTCTAGTTTAGTGTAGTTCCTCAAGTGACGTTTGGACTTCGAACTGAAAACAAGTTTGCATAGCATAACTCATACGTTTCTTCCTTTTAACTAAAAATATGTTTTTACTAAAGTAACTCTTTCATTAAATTGAGTAACTCAGGCCTTGTTTGATAGGTAGGAAATTCCATGAAAAATGGAATTGCATTTCATCTTTTCAATTTTTGGGTGTTTGATTGGCAAAAATTTCCTTGAAATTCATTTTCCACATTTTCATGCCACATAGACATTTTTCATATTTTGGAGGAAAATGGTGAGAATTCATTTTCCCGGTTTTTTTTTTTTTTTTTTTTTGGCAATGAAAACAAATTCTAAGAATTATTGAAAAAAAATATTTCCCTTAAATTGATAATTTTCATGTAAAATAAAGCCAAACGAACACCCAAAAAATGTTTTTCTTATTATTATTATTATTCGCAATGGAAACAAATTCTATCCCCAATACCAGTGAATTTGATCATTTTAATTGACATTTTTATATAAAACAAAGCCAAACGAACTCTAAAAACTACTTTTATAACAACATTTTCCACGTGAAAGATTATATCAATCAAACACAAAAATTGACAATTCCCAGGAAAATAATTTTTAGACAATTCAATTTCCTGAAATTTTTTTTCTTTTCACCCAAATTCCATATTTGTAATCAAACAGACCCTAATTAGAAACACTAGAGTTTGATCAAAATATTATTGCTTACCTCGATGTAAATAGCATTCACAAATCAAGAAGTTTGGCTTGAAATTGTACCCTTATCATCAATCTGGAAATTAAACCAACAAATTAAAACCCCAGAAAAATTAGTACAATCTTTTCTTAAAATTTTACTTCTTTACCTCTTGAAGAGAATAGAGAGATGAAAGAATGAAACTCAAGCTCTAACTGCCGAACCTACCTTTCTTTTTTCTTCCTTTTTCGATCTTCTCTATTCTCCCTTCCCCACCCCATTTTATCAGCATTCCCTTTGTACGAAATGAAGAAAATGGGCATAATTTTTGCTAGTTAGTGGACATTAAGTCCAAATTGCAAGGTAAATTCCTCATTTTTTATTTTATATAACATTTAATCAGGAACTTCCCATAGTTTAAAACTAAATGCCCAAATTCCTATTTTATTATCATAAACCCTTAACTACTTTCAATTATAAAATAAACCTCAAGAAATTTTTTGACTACATAAAACAGTTGTAACAATCTTACCTCCTTTAAAGAATTTTGTCCTCGAAATTCATTTGGCATCTTGCTAGGCTATGAACATATGAGGATATTGAACATGCATATGATCATCATGCTCTCCCTAGCCTCGTCTATTACCTGATTTTCTCCGAAGGATCGTTACAAGTAAAATTGTCTTGTTTCATTGAACTTGCACCTTTCTATCCAGGATTCTCAATGGCTCTTCTATACTGTAAATATTTAAAGCTAGTTAAGTGTGTAGAATAATTCTAGTATTCTATGTGATTTACTCAATTACGGAAATTAACAAGTATGAATACTACATATAACATGGTAAATCCGGAAGGGAAAGTCCAAGCTAAATTTCTTGGTGTTTTCCAAGCTAATTTTTTCACTAGAATCTTTGCATACTTAGTTTGTACCATTAAGATACCTGCATCAACCTGCTTAACCTACAAACACATGAAATAATTCAATTCGTCAATCATACTCATTTTGAACTCATTTTGCTTAAGATTAACAAACTCCCTGAATTTTGTTTTCGATGTGGATCCAAATACTATGTCATAAACATATATTTGAGTTACAATTAATGTGTACTTGAGTTATCAGATGAACGATTGCTCAAATTGAACTAATTCTTCCTACATTGCTAGTAGTACTCAAGATTCATCACCGAGTGCTTCAATCATATATTTAACCAACGAATACTCCCTCATCACTGTTAGGACCAAACTTCCCCATGTGTTCTCTGTCATTTAATACATAGAACTCGTTTTCGAATGTTCAAAAATACATGTCATGGACTCAAAAAAACAGTTATTTCGAATAAGTTAAGCACAAGTTATTAAAGTTTGAAAGAATTTAATTATTAAGTGAGTTCGTTAAGGATTTAGAAATTTTGGCAGCCGTGTAAGATAATTATTTATCATATTTTGATAAGTTTACTTTTAATCTTAATTGGATTGTGACAAAGTAATATTAATCCTAATTAAATCAACATAGATTTATTTTCTATATCCCCTAAGTCATTCTTTATTCTTTTTCGTTTCCTTTTTCTAAAATTCTATTGCAGGATTATTTATGAAGCTAATCCAAATTATGTTGATAAGTAACGGCAAATCAATTATTGATAATTAATACAATTCTTGTAGTTAATCTCAAATCCAATTTGATTAGGATAAACTTTAAAACTAAGTCTAAATCAATGAGGATTCAATTGTTGGTCCATACTATAAATATGTCATTAGATTAATCAAAGTTTTACATCAAAATTTCCTCCATCATTATTTTCTTTTAGT